CTACTTCGAGGCAGTTGGGTTTTGCCACGTCATTATTCCTGAAACAAGTGCGGTCTCCTTCAGAATAATAACATTGGTTCTCGCTTCCTGCAAGGATCACACACAAAACCGTTCAATAGGCGCGAGGTGTTCCAGCCACTGCTCTTTTCCCTGGTCGACCGGGGGATGTCCCATTCAAGCAGTGGTTAAATCATCGAATCAGGGAATAGAGCACTGCCAGGGGGAAACGCCGCACTTGCCGACGAGTCCGAATCAGCATGTGTTCTTGTCAATGCTCCCCGAGCCCCCCACCCCACTTCGAGTGGAGGGACAGTTGGCGCCTTCGAGTTGGGTTGGGGTGGTTCGGTGGGAACGAACCTTTGTGAACCCAGCTTCGCGCACAGCGCCCCGAGATGCGCGGCGCGCGATCCTCTTCGCGCCCTCGCGCCCTCGCGCCGCCCCCTTGGAGGAGCGCAGCCGCTCTGGCCCAGACCACGCCGCGAGAAGCCCCCGCGGGTGACCCCAGTCGCGCCTCTCGCGGGAAGGAGCCGCGCGCCGAAAGCGCCGCGGACGCGGGCGCCACGCGCCGGCGGGGCGAGGATGAGGGTCGGAAGGGCCTCCCCACGCTCGCAGAGAGGCTGGAAGGAGTGCAAGTTGCAGATCCCGTCGAAAATGGAGGTGGCCATGGAGGAACCCGAGGCAGTCGGGACAGCTTCGCCCGGGCTGCAAAGAGCTGGAGGGGGAACTGGCGAGGGCCAGGTCGGGCATGTCCTCCTGCAGGCGTATTTTGAAAGAGAGAAATGTATCGAACTTTCGTACGATAATAACATCTCGGAAAATCGTTACCTGACTATTTTTTGACTCTTCCGGACTCTTTTCCATGTAGGGGAGCATACCCGACTTAAGGCCATGGCCCGAAGCGGAAGGGGCTGGCCCCGCCCACCTCTCCCACGCACCAGCGAACGCAAGCAGGCGCCCCATCAAATCCCCCGCGCCCAGGCTGCAGCCCATGACGCCTGGTGTCCTCACGTCGCCGCTCACACAAGAAAACAAGCGAAACAGAGCGGGTCCCAGACCGCGGCCACGCAGGGGCACCGCGCGCGCGCGCGGTGCGCGCCCCACACCGAGCGGGCTGGTCCTCCTGCAGCAAGCAGCAGCAGGCCGTGCAGCCTGGGCGGGCACATAGAGACGCGCGGCGCGCGGCGCGGGGCAACCGCCGCCGCCACCGTCGGAGGGTCCTTCGGAGGGCCTTCGTTCCGCGGAGGGCCTTCTGGATGGCTTTCTGGGTGGCCTTTCGCTGTGCCTTTCGGAGGGCGTTGCGGAGAGTCTGCGGAAGGCATCGGGAAGAACAGCTCGTGCCGCCGCCGCAGCCGCGGCAGCCGACGACGACGGCGGCGAGGCTTCTGTACAGGGCCCCTGCCGCTGGGGACCTTCCGAGGCCTTCAGAGACCTCCGGTGACCTCCGGAGAACGGGGACCTCTACAGGCCTCCGAAGACCTCAAGTGGCCTCCGGAGGACCTCCATGGCGGTCGTCAACGCCGCCGACGCCGCCGCCATCGCCGCCGCTTTCGTCGCCGTCGCAGCGTCTGCCGTCGCCGCCGCAGCGGGCTCCGACGACGGCCGCGCAACATCAGAAAAGCCTAGCGGCGAGTCCTTCGCAAGAAAAAAAACATCTCCTGGCGAAGGACCCAACCATACGCGGTTGTGAATAACGCAGCTGTTGGTATCGTCTTCGGGGGAGCTCCTTATGAAGCAAGAAACCTGTGAGGGATGTGCAAACATGGGCGCGGTGGTGTCATGCGAGCGCAGCCACTGGGGCCTTCGGTGGAGCTCCCCCCCATGGGGCCACGAAACGTGTGACGTTTGTGCCGAAATGGGCGCGGTTGTGTCATGCAAACGCAACCAATGGGGCCTTCGATGGAGCTCCCCATGGGGCCACGAAAATGAAGGGTGTGCCGAGCTCCGAATGGGGCCACGAAGCGAGTGAGACACGTGCCGAAATTGGTGCGGTGGTGCCATGCGATCGCAGCCACTGGACTTTAGGTGGAGCCACGAAACGTGAGAAGGGTGTGCCGAAATGCGCGCGGTGGTGCCATACGAGCGCAGCCATTGGGGCCTGCGGTGAAGCTCCCTATGGGGCCCCGAAGCTTGACAGGGGTGTGCCGACATCGGTGCGGTGGTGTCATGCGAACGCAGCCACTGGGGCCTGCGGTGGAGCTTCCCATGGGGCCACGAAACGTGTGAGCCGCGTGCCGACAAGGGCGCGGTTGTGTCATGCGAGCGCAGCCACTGGGGCCTTCGGTGGAGTTCCCTACGGGGCCACGAAACCTGACAGGGGTGTGACGAAATCGGCGCGGTGGTGCCATGCGAGCGCAGCCACTGGGGCCTTCGGTGGAGCTCCCCATGGGGCCCCGAAGCGTGTGAGTGGTGTGCCAACATGGGCGCGGTGGTGTCATGCGAGCGACCTGCGGTGGAGCTCCCTTTAGAGCCACGAAAAGTGTGAGGGGTGCGCAGAAATCGGTGCGGTGGTGTCAGGCAGACGCAGCCACTGGGGCCTTCGGTGGAGCTCCCCATGGGGCCACGAAGCGTGTGAATGGTGTGCCGAAATGGGCGCGGTGGTGTCACGCGAGCGCAGCCACTGGGGCCTGCCGTGGAGCTCCTTGGAGGGCCGCGAAGCGTGTGAGTGGTGCGCCGACATGGGCGCGGTGGTGTCATGCGAGCGCAGCCACTGGGGCCTTCGGTGGAGCTTCTTGTGGGGACACGAGACGTGAAGGGTGCGCTGACATGGGTGCGGTGGTGTCATGCGAGCGCAACCATCTGGGTCTTCGGAGGAGCTCCCTACGGGGCCACGAAACGTGTGAGGGGTGTGTCGACTTGGGCGCGGTGGTGCCATACGAGCGCAGCCACTGGGGCCTTCGGTGGAGCTCCCTATGGGGTCACGAAACGTGTGACGGGTGTGCTAAAACGGGAGATAGCGATGACGATGACGATGACGATGACGATGATGATGATATGATGATGATAGTAATGATGGTGATAATACTAGTAATGATAATAATGATAAGAAGAAGAAGAAGAAAAAGGAGAAAGGGGGCTGCGGGAGGAGGATGGGGAGTGAACGCGGGGACCGTCTCTTCAAAACGGGGACCCAACACCACAGGATGGTTGGGAAATAAGAAACGACGTAACTATAAACTGTCGGAGGTCGCGGACCTCCGACGGTTTATGCTGACGCCGTTGTTTTTGTTCCTCAGGCGCTGGCGGGATCTTGCGGCGCGGCGGGCGGCGACACCCCCCCTCGACTGCTGCCTGCCCTTCCGGGTTCCTGGCCCTGACGGTCGGCTCTGGCCGCCCGAGGCGCTGTGCCTGTGGGCTGCGTAGGAGTGCCTCGGGCGCCCCGAGGGGGGAAAGGCCACGGGCGTCTCGCCCAGAACGCATACGCCTTCTTCGTCGTGCACAGCCGGATATCCAGCGCTCGAAAGAATTGGGTGGAAGGTTGAAGTAGGAAGGCGTTGACAGACAGGGGCACGAGGGGATAGGTCGTGTTGCCACACAGTCGAATCATGGCCACAAAGAACGTTGCGCAAGAGTATCAGATTGTTCCTCGAAGGCCCCCAGGGTCCCACATGGGGATGCCCCGAACGAAGGAAGCTCTGAGGTGGAGAGCCCAATAACAAAGAACATGCACATCGATCTGCAGAAGCGCATAGAACCATTAAGCAAGAAAGTGGTGTCGTTAGATTGGGTTTCCGCTGGCCCCCTGAAAAGGAAGGAAAACATAGGTACATATCGCCAGCGAACGATGGGTACGCTGGAACTTCATGCATGGGCTGCCAATCAACAAATCACAAGAATCGTCTGGGAGGTCTGTGCCGAGTGCCCCAAACTCCCTCGTTGACTCAAGACATTGCACCTGAGGTCATGATGTTCCGTCGCACCATCTCGTCGTCTGTGGACTGGAATGCCTCAGGGAAAGACTATTTCAATCAGGGCCTTTGGTCGCAATCCAATCCCCCTGCTGTCTTCTCCACGACAATCTTGCGTATGCGTTATGCTCGTCGGCAAGCGACAATGTCCACACTGCCTGCGAGATCTTCCGGGATATGGTGCGCGTGAGCATCGTCGCAGTACCTGCGCAAACCAGCGCCACAAAACTGCAAGCGACGCAGTTTCACACCAGGATCAGCCCCGAGGTATGATTTGCCCTGTGCCTTCGCCTCCCGAGGCGGAAAGAGACGGGAAGGGCAGGGATGTGGAGGGACAGGGAGGGGCGAGGAGCGTGGAGGGGAAAAGGCAAAGAGATGGAAAGAAGTTCGCCGGCCCAACGGGCCAGAGGAGCGCTAGAAGCTCCGGTGCGAGGTTCAGCTTGTTCGTTTTACGAGTTCGTGCAAGGTTGGCGGTCTCTGGGGGTCCTCGGACGAAGAGTACCCTGGGCGAGGCCCGGCAGATTCCCCTCAGAGGTCGTTTCACTCCTGGGCGCGGCCCTCAGGACCCACAAGACTGCCACATGATCGCCCAAAGGGAACTCCAAGAGAGCCCAAGAACGGCACAAGAGCGGGGATCAATGGGTGGCACGTCCCGATATGCCGCCAAGACAGCCCCGAGAGGCCCTAAGATAGCCCTGGGGTGGCCCGAGATTGTCAGTGAGGTCCCCAGAAGGCTGAATATCTGCTGCTTCTTCATCGGTTTGGGATTTCTTGCACTGTCGTTTCCTGTGGTCTCCTCCTGAGGCCGCCGAAGACGGCGAGGCCTCCCAGACGACAAAGCAGAGCTAAAAACGGAGGGCATGATGGGATGCCAACAATAAGCAAACTCGACTATGGACCCTCCTGGAGCACCAAGAAGGCCCCCGAGGACATCGGAAACGGGGGGACGCCTGCAGCATGGCGTCGGGCGCCGAACCACACCGCCGCAGCTCCCGCAGCACGCTCTCGTGCAGCTCGTGCGTAACGAAGTCGACCACCTGGACGGGGCCGAAAAGGTGGCCGGCGGCAGTCCGGGAAGCTGAGGAAAAGGAGGCCGTTGGGAGGTAGGAAGGGAGGGAGGGAGGGAGGAGGAGGGGCATATGACACTATGAGGCCATGACGAGGTCGACCCTCGCTCGCCGAAGCGGGCGCATCTGAACAACTGATGCTTCGGTGCGGAGGAGTAGGAGGAGGGAGTGCAGAAAGAGAAGGTGGAGGAAGAGGAGGAGGAGGAGGAGGAGGAGGAGTAGGAGGAGGAGGAGGAGGAGGAGGAGTAGGAGGAGGAGGAGGAGGAGGAGGAGGAGGGCCGTTCTTGCCCCTGCAGAGCGGGGGGGGCGCACCCCACCACCAGCCCAGGGGGGGGGGGGGCCGGCCCCAGCGCGCCGCCGCCATGGCGGCTCGCGTGACCAGCCGACAAACTACAAGCTGATAATAAAAAGATCATCAACCAGCTGACGATTTACAAGCTGACGAGGAATACCAGCTGACGAGGAATACCATCCACCAGCTGACGAGGAATACCATCCACCAGCTGACGAGGAATACCATCAACCAGCTGACGAGGAATACCATCCACCAGCTGACGAACTACAAGCTGGGCATCCAAAACATTGACTTCGAGACATATCCACCTCGGTGAAGACTACCGGCAAATATGCCGAGACTATACACGCATAGAGGTGTACGTACACATGCAGCCCTCAAGAGAACGGGCTAGCTCACCCGACACGGCCTACAACCACACCTCAACGACATCATGACCATCCCTATAACCGCCTTCATGATGGCGTCCACTCTAGGACGGGATGAGCTGCGCAACATGCAGCCTCAGGAAGAGCTGCGCAACCTGCAGCCCTAGGAAGAGCTGCGCAACAGGCAGCCTAAGTACGATACCGAGTACGGCACCAAGACCGACGCCAGGGAAGTCACGACTAAGCAGCCCGAAAGGGTCGCGAAGTACGTCGTCACGAAGGTACTGGTGGACAACGGCCGCGCACCCTACGAAGAATACGACTACGGTCGCGCCGCATACGACGAATACTACTACGACAGTGTGTTCGATAACAGCCTGTACTCCTACGACCCTCGGGACTACGACGGACCGCAGGGCTACGACAACCGCCAGGACCACAGGGACACCCAGAACGTAGAACACTATGCCTTGGCAGCCGACGACTCTGACTCGGACCCTGGGGAGTACGAAGAGAGCGTGCCCTCTGAATCGCTACAGCCACCAGCAGAACCACCAGGGCCACCAGACAACCTTCGGGGACCACAAGCTGGACTACAAGGACCACACGCACAGCTACGAGACCCACTTGAAGAGCTTCAAGTCCCACATCTCGAGTTGCGAGACCCGCCAGCACAGCCAGGAGAGCCACAAGCTGTGCCACGAGGACCACAAGCTAAGCTACGAGAGCCACAACCAGACCTCCAACCAGAGCCACGAGAGCCACAACCAGCAGCACTGAAGGACCCACCTGCCGCGTTGATGGGAACCACCTGCCGAGCCACGAGAGCCCCGGGCGAGCAACGAAGACCGCAAGCCACAAGCAGGACTACAAGAACGGCCAGCTGAATCCACGAGGCCTGCCTGCTGCGGCGAGGGCGACCAGCTGAGCTACGAGGGCCACGGGCACAGCGAATTACGAGAGCTACGAAGGCCACCGGCTGAGCTTCCAGAGGGCCACAGCCACAGGCACGCGGACTGTAGGTCCGGACAGGAGGCTTTGGACCCAAGGCCGTAAAGCATGCGACCTGGAACGATAAATGCCTGCTCTTCCTGCTGCCTGGCGAGCAAGAAAAAAACGAAATAGATTCGGCATCCAAACTACAGCTTCCGTGTCCAAACAACGGTTTCCGTATCCGGTTACACCAATTTCCGTGTTCACCTACACTGATTTCCGCATCCACCCACACCGGTTTCCGGATCCATCGACAACAATTTCCGTATCCCCCACATTGGTGTCCGTATCCACCCACACTGGTTTCCGTATGCACTGCTACCGGTTTCCGTATCCACCTACACCGGTTTCGGGAGCCACCAACACCGGTTTCCGTACCCACCACCGGTTTTCCGTATCAGAAGGTGTTTCGAAGCTTCTTCGAAACTCTAGAAACTTGCCACCTCCCCAGGCATGTTTTCCAGCGCCTTGCTAAGCTTCTCCCACAAAAAATTGTCCAAGTTTGCAAGCTCCCCAAGAAAGCTTTCTACTGCCTTCGCCAGCGCCCCTGATAATCGTTTCGCGGTTGTGGACTTCCCCGAGAAGCAGGAATGGGATCTCCCAGGAATATGGGTTTTAAGGGCTAAGTGAAGTTTCTGCATTGCTCGGCCCTGGGCCGACCAGTTGGAATCTGATGTTGTTTATGTTGAAGAGTTTCGGACCTGAGGTTTGCTTTCGATCGCCCAAGCGTTTATATTCCCGATGATTGAAAAATGGAACGACGTTCCGAACATCTAGTTTAATGATTGTGCTTTCTTATGATTCCGATTTCTTGGAAATCCGAAATTCAGAAATGGATTTCCGAGAAATTCATGTTGTTTGGCGTGGGATTTGGGGGAGGAGGCAAAAACAACAAAACAAAACACCATCAACCAACAAGAAAAAAGGCGGCGCGAGGAAGAAGAAATGAAGAAAAAGAAAACGAGGGGAGAGACCCAGAACAGAAGAGAAGGGAGACCCACAATTTCTGACGCAGCAAAGGCGACCCATATTTTTGGCTCAAGGGACATTGGCTCAGCCTGACTTATGCTATCCGCTGCAGGAGCCTGTCGCTGGGGCGGTCAATCACCACATACCAGTCTGGCCATCGCACTGCTCACCCTTTACAGTTCTGTCTTTTTCCGCAATGCTAGGCGCAGCAGGTGCCGAGCCTACTGTTGTCGGCGGAATCCAGAAACCTCAATTTGAGAAAGCAGAAGGAGACCACTTGGCCCGGCTGCTGAAGCCAAACAACTCCAGCACGAGCTATCTTGTATAAGCCTGTCGCTGGGGCGGTCAGTGGGAGCCTGTCGCCGGGGCTGTCAACTACCAGTTACTTCAGGTGACACATACCAGTCTGTGTACTGTCCTCGCTCAATTTGATCTGCAATTCTTCTCGTCTCTCGCATTGCACTTCTGCCCGACAAGGTCAGCGCACCTGGCGTCGAGCCAGGAAGCGAAGAATTCGTTGCAGCGCTTGCGCGCGGAATAAATCTCTGCGCGTCATCGCGCAGCAGCCGTGTGGGACGAATTGCAGACGCATTCGGCAACTCAGAATCGATGCAACTCAATTCCTGGGAACTCAAAAAAAACGTTGAAACCGTGCCAATCGGCGCTGGAATACTGCCACAATGTTCGAGAACAGCGTTGAAAATTCAAGCGGGGGAGGGAGATCCGGAGCGAAAGCGGAGAATGATCGAAAATGTTGGTCGTGCCAGAGCCAATGCGCACGATGCGCGCTCATACTTTTTGGAAATAATAATGCTAACGTGCGAAGCCCCGAGACCCCCAAGCACACTGGATTCCACCTCGCCGCAATGAGGCTGTCTGCGCCAGCAGGCTAGTGAGAAGGGGCCGGCGCGACTGTGAACCGTCAGCCACGCTCTCCCCGCCTCGACAGAACGACTAACAGGGGCAACAGCATTTGAAAGCTCGTCTAAGACAAAACCTGCGACTCCACCTCCGTGGATATTGCTATCCCTGCGCGCGATCAAAATATAGCGGCTCAAAGTTGGACGCATGCGCGACTCATCAAGATGGGCTTCTGCCAGACACACAAAGGAAGGCAAACTAGCAATTAACAGCAATCTAGCTTCCAATTCGTCCTTGCGCGCCAAGAAATTGCGCTCGTCCGCGAAATATGGTGAGGCCAGGCAAAACGACGGCAGGTAAAGGCCCGGTTTAACGAGGTAAGGGATTCAAGGTTGATTCAGAATTGTCGAAAAAATCGTGCAACGCGCGTTGGGCAAGGGACGGGCGGGGAGGAACAGGACGAGAGGAAAGGAATTCAGGGTAGGCGGAAACAAACTCTGCGACATCAGACCTCTCGAAAAAATTGGCCCAGGACTCGACGAAAAATCTGGATGGACTCCGCTTCGGCTGACAATTCGACGAAGAAATGCAGAAACTGTGCGAGGACCTCGTCGTCTCGAACGATTCTGAGGGGGCCGCGCGCTACTTCTCGCGCGAGGGGCAGAACGACACGAGACAGAGGAAGAGGGGGGGAGGGGGAAGAGACATAACAAGGAGGAGGCTGTGAACAAACTTGTGCACGACTCCATGCATTCTAGTCGACAAATCGGAAAGACGCCGTCTGCCCGTCGACAGAAACGGACCTCCCCTTCCAATTGATCTCTATTATTTTCCTTGGGGGGCTCGCCTTGAGCTTCCTCTCGGCCTCGCGCACAGCCCAATCGCGCACTATTGGCCCGCGTCTTGGCCCGCTTGAATGTGACCAGGCCTCCGCCGGCTCAATGCTAATTTCTCGCCCTTAGCATACTTTTGTCAAGAGCGCCTTCGCGTCGCATTCTGCTGCGAACCGCGCGAAGGAAGCCGCGAATTCTTCGGGCCTGAGTAGAAGTGTCCAACGGAACTAAGCTTAACGCCCTCTGCCTGCGAGACCAGACGCTGCAACTCAACCGCGCGCTGCTCAACAGATTCCGTTTTGAAGCCAACGAAGGCGATCTGGAAGTTTGCCACGTTCTCAGTTCATCGTCTGCGATTGACGAAGAAGATGCGGATCCAGAACCCGACCGACTGCTTCGCATATCAATACCTGTCTCTGAAGTAATGCGCGTGTGTGCGCATGGATGCGAGACCGCTGTTCGTAGCCATATCTCCATTCATCACTTTGGGCAAGTCGAATGCTGCTTTCTCCCCCGGCGAGGCCTCCTCCAAAAATGCGGCCAGCGCGGGCGCCGACGGGGGGGAGAAACCCGCGCCCGTGGCCGGGGGGCGAAACCCGCGCCCGGCCTGGAACTGCCACCCCAAGGGCGGGTTCCAAGAGCACCACCAGAACTGCCACCCGCAGGGCCTGTCCCGGGAGCCGGGAGAATGGCGCCCGAAGGGCCGTTCTCACCACCAGAATTGCCACCCTGGGGGCCGGTTCCAAGAGCAGCAGCTGCAACGGCAGCGCCGCTCTGTTCAAGACCAGGACCGCCACCCGAAGGGCCAGTCCTGGGAGCAGCACGCAGCGGGCACGGACGCCTATATTGCTGCCGCTCTTTCTTCCAGCAGAGGGCTTTCGTCTGCACAGTCTGCTTGTGTTAGGGCACAGCTACGCAAGCTTAAACGAGGTTCGAAATAAATGGCGGCCCCTGTCTGATCAGCGCCCGCACCCGGTCGCCTAAACGACTTCTGAAAACGTTGCAACCGGACAACGGCGCAGGGCCAAATCCAGCGCCAGCCCGCGTTCTCCAGCAGCGCAGCGAATCCCGGGCAATACCCCATCGCCAAGCTTGCAGACAAATCCTAGCTCGTTGCGGCCGCAATCGTAACTCGTAGAGCTTCCCTTAGCAAGTTATTGCTGGAAGCTAAGAGTAATTCCGGAGCGCTGGAGAGCTAGTTGGCAAGAAAAATATCGACGGACCTTTTGGTGACTTTTGGTCGGTTGAAATTTTTGTTCTCGAAATTTGAACATTCGTTAGAGCTCTAGTATTTTTTCCCGTGATATTCGATCTTATATCCGCTCGCCATCTTGATCTCAGCTCGATCGGGTAACTTTGAAGGCCAAAAAGCGTCCCGGCGGGAACGGCCGTTTCGAGTCATCATGAAACGCGCTGTCGGTTTTCTCAAGATAACTCGAGCTTCAGGACAACTACAGAGCTGGTCAGCACAGCTAATGCATTCAGAATGATCAGGCGCGTTCGCCTGTTGAATCCAGAGCTCTGAACTCGGTCTGCTAGCCGAGCTAGGGTTGCAAACCTATTCGTATTATTCGAGTCATTGTAGGAGACGCTCTCGGTTTTTTGCACTTAACTCGAGCTGTAGGGCAGCTACAGAGCTGGTGAGCACACCTATCGCATTCAGAATCATCAGGCGCGTTCGCCTGTTGAATCCAGTGGTCTGAACTCGCCTGCTAGCCGAGCTAGGTTCGCAAACCTACTCCTATTATTCGAGTCATCTTGACAGACGCTCAATTTTCTGCACTTAACTCGTGCTGGGGGAGGGCTACAGTGCTGCGGGTCACAGATATCGATTTGCACACATCAGGCGCGTCTCGCGGTCGATTCCAGAGCTCAGAACTCGGTCTGCTGCTCGAACTAGGTCCGCGAAACTATTCTATTATTCCAGTCGATACTGTCAGTTGTCTCCACATAACTCGGGCTGTAGGGTGGCTGCAGGGCTGAGAATCACATGAGTGGATTCGCAGACATCAGACGGGCCCGCCTGTCGGATTCAGAGGTCTGAACTCGGTTTGATACTCGAACTGGGTTGCGAAACCGTTTTTTTAGGGTCATCTTGAGAGATCTCAAATCGCTTGGGCTGAAAAACTAGTCGTTCTTTGGAGTTTTCCCCTACGCTATATATTGTCAGGAAGCTCTACGAGTCCCCCGGCGGTAAGAAAGGTTGACGGTTTACCGCCGGCGCCCAGTCGCGCAACCACTGGATTCTCCCTTTGCACCAAAAAGCTCCTGTCCGATCCAAATAAATATAGGGGCATTCAGCTCACGTGTCAAATGTCTGAGGTCTTCCTTCACCGCCTCGGTCAAGCTCGCGCTTGGAGGGAGGGAAGAGAGGAGAGAAGGGGAGGGAAGGGCACAAGCCCACGCGCACGGCGAACGCGCAGCGCGCGCGCCCTGCGCTCCACGCAGGCGGCCAGAGGAAGCGGAAAGAGGAGGGGCAGGAGGAAGAAGAACGACGAGAGACGGCAGCAGCAGGCAGCGAACCAAGCAAGAAACGAGGTAAAAAGGACAGAAAACGAAGACGAAAACAAGAAAGGACAGCGAACGGAAAACGAAGAGAAAACAAGGGAAAAGACAAGGACGGGAACGAGGAAGAACGAAGACGACAGGAAGGAAGAAGAAGAGACGCAGAAAAAATACCATGCTCGTGGCTATCTCAAGAAAAGCCGCCTGGGCACAACACAGAAGCCATCAGGCCGCCGGGCGCCAGTTCCCAAAGCGGCGCACTTCGTGGTCAACGAGCGGCAGACGCCACGAAAAAAAGCTGAGGCCAAGACGAAACCTGACCTGAGGCATGACACGGAAGCTCAGACAATAGACAACTGACGTTGGAACTCTTTCACGTCAGGGGCGCCAACAACGATCTCGGGCAACAGATTGCACATACGAGCGCCGCCCAACGTGGAAGGAATTACGTAATCTCGAGCCGGAGCAGGGCAGGATAGACCATGACGGAAATGCCTGGGAGGAGCGCGGAATGGAACAAAAGACGAACCAAGTTGGTGGTTTAAACATGCTGGGCCGACGCCGAGAAGCGTCCGCTGTGTCTCTTCGAGAGCACAAAAGAGCTAACTTAAAGTGATGGGGGGCATCTAAATTAGAGATGCCCACACTGCGGAAGAAGGAACTTTGAACGCGATCCGAGGAGGCCAAGACGGAGTTTGAAACATGCGTGAAAGCACAAGTTCTGTACTCGATGAATGGTGCTTTATATAACAGAACGAGCCCGGCGTCTGCGCGAAACGCCGCGTTCGCATTAATGACGGCAGCCTCCAGCCGCGCTCGCCAACACAGCTCTGCACCGCATCTGCCACTGTAAGTTTACAATCGAAGTCAACACCTAAATTTTTGAAATTGCGTTCTGCCGGCCGACAGTGAGACTACCTGCAACCTTACTTTAGAAGGCTCGAAAACAACTGAGTTTGCACGGCCCCAGTCATGCAAGCAGCTACGACACTGCTGCACCGACTCAAACACATCAGCATTGGAGGTGGAGAGAAGAAAGGACGGAAAACATTCAAATCATCAACATAAACAATTTCTTGCACAACGTTCTCATGATGGCCTCCCATGCGCCACTGAAAAATAAATTCCAGAAAAGTGGGCCGAACACAGTGCCCTGAAAGACCATATATGTTATTTAAATGGTTCTTGAAACCGTGCGACAATGACGCGGCGGAGCGGGCCCCCAGCCAACTGGCAAAAACATCGCACGAACGAGTCGAAAGACCGAAAACACGCAACTTCGACACAAATCGTTCGATTTCACTCTGTCGAAGGCACCACCAATATCTTAACAATACAAACCGCGTGGCAGACGCTTGCGATGAGAAACCAAATAAGAAGAAAATAATAGCTATGCGCACGCGAATTGAAATGGGTTAGACAAGAACTTCTGTAATTTTTAGATCACGCCTTCTTCTTGTATAGGGAACAAACGCGATGCAATCGCCAACAAAATGGAATCTGAGAATAGATCGGGCGAGTAGCGCAGGGGCAAATGCGAGAGAGCACGGACAAGACTATGAAATACGAGCGGGAACGCCGTCTGGACCCGTGGCAGAATCACCCTTTAAAGGATTTTAAACAAACCTTGCACGCCTACCCTGCACGGCGAAAAAAAAAATCTGCTCCGTGTGGCTCGCTGCACTACCGCAAAAAAACTGTTCTCCTGCAACGCGGGGACATGCCAGCGACCCTTAAACGACGATGCAAAAAAAGTCTTGTCCATTCACACGGCGAACTCCGGGCGACGGAATGACCACTTCACCAAATAGTTGATTCGACAATCGCCACCCAGCTTTCGAACCAAAACGGAACTTTGAACGAACGCGATCGCAATGCAGCTTGAAAAAATCAATGAAACAGCTCCAATACTTTCTGTTTTTCTCTATCGAACTTCTGCAGCAATACACCACGGCACACTCGGCAAATGAAACTTTAAATTTGAAGGGGGCAACAGAATAGATGAATGGCGGCCGCTGGAGCCAACGCGCGGCCGGAAAGGGACGGAAAGGACGAAAAGAAAAACAAAAAGATAAACCAACGAAAGTGCAGGCAAGCAGGCAAACGGAAAGCGAAAAAGAATAGGAACCAGAAACGCCGGGCGCGCCCGGCAAGAAAGACGCCTGCGACACTCGTGCCCCCCAATGCGGAACGCACAAGGTAGTGCAGGGCACGGAAAAAACACAGGTCACGGAAATGACGGAAGTGGCGACGACGGGAGCGGGAAGGATGAGAAGAAAAACAACGCAAAAATAAGAACAAAACCTGAAACACGGAAGGCTGAAACCGAATACTCTGCGGTGAATAAACCCCAAGTCGGCTGTGTCTCTGCGAAAGTAAAAGGGGCAACATTAAAGTTACGCAAAACTTCGCACTGAATTATGTCCAGGGCACGTAAAACCAGCCATCGTTAACGCTGCGTGAGACGCCCGGGAAAACCACGGCAATAAGGCGAATTGTTTTTTTTCTATGTATCTCGTAACAGCAGATGAGTCTCACCACACGCTCAAGTAAGTGAAGGCAGCTCGGCTACGACTGTCAAAAAGAGAAGCACAAAGCAGAAGAAGAAGGAGGGAAAGGAGAGGAGCAAGAGGGGAGGAGAAGAGGAGGGAGAGGAAGGGCAGCGGCAGACGACAGACGACAAGGGGGGAGGGAGGGGGAGGGAGCGAGAGGGGAGGGCCGAGCCCCGAAGAGGCAACGCGCAACGCGCGCACCCTGCGCTCCACGCAGAGCGGCCGGGGGGGAGGAGAAGGAGAAGAGGGGGAGGGACACGAAGACGGACGAACGAAAGGCGACGGCGGGACACGACGGCAGCAGACGACGAGGGAGGAGAGGAGGGGGGAGGGGAAGGGGAGAGGAGAAGAGGGAAGACGAGAGAAAGGAAGAGCTAACCACGCCAATCCCGACACCCACGGAGCGGGTGCGAAGCCAGCGGGAGGCGGGGGGAAAACGAAACCGGCCAGTCGTCAAAAAGGCGTGCACGAGCACGCACGAGATTTTGAAGGCGAGATTGAAATACGCTGACACCACGAGCGGAAACAATAAAGTCAGGGAGAAGGTTATATATGCGAACGGCACCAATCGCTGAGCGTAGGAGAAAATCTGGTGCTGTGAAGGGCGGCTCCACCAAATGGTGTCTGTGTCTTCTGGGAGCCCTGGCCGGCGGCGGCGCCGTATCCAGCTTAAAGAAGTTCTGAAAGCACGGAGGACCGAGTCCCAGAACAGCTCTGTGAATGACGCCGAGTATGCTTATGTCACGACGAGTGC